TTTCCCTCCCTTTTTTTTTTACTCAAGCCCTAGGTTATTCTATTATTTCCTTTTTGACTTGTGAATTTGTAACAATGGGCTACAATCAATAGTTTCATAAATTTCCTTTTTGTGCACCCGTGGTACAGATAGGTAACACAGTCTCTAACACTGATGACAGAGTCTTTGAGAATCCTTCTTTAAAGTCTTTAAATATGATGGCGTAAACAATCGGATTAGCTGCATTGTTGATATACAAAATCAAAAAGACATAGTTGCGAAAAAAATGATTAATAACATCAAAACATTCGCATATTGTGTAAATAACATAAAACAAGATCCCAGGAGTAACACAGGTGAAATAGACCAGTGTGTTAACGGACATAGTAATGATGAAATTTCGTTGAGCATCATGTGCCTTGTCTTTCCGATTGGCTTGCGATGGTGAAATATTTATCTCAACAGCTGATTCATCACCAGCACCCTTTGTATGTGCTTGCATTGTTAGTTCTGCGCGAATTTTAGCTTGTTTCTTCAGTGTGATATACACATGATAGTAGCAGAATGTCATAGTGCTAACTGGAATTACCCAATTTGCCAGCAATAGAATTGTACCTGACAGCATCTGAAAGCCTTCGTTTTTGTAACAAAAGGTACATGCTCCAGGAACTGCAGGATCTTCTTCAAGTATGAACGCATACTGAAGTGTTATTAGAAATGCAGCTGCGAGTGGAATACATAACTTTGGTAAAGTGTTCTTCTTCTCGTTAACTCTTATCCTGTGCTTAAATGGATGCACCACTGCGATGTACCTCTCAATAGAAATAAAGACTAGGTTTAGCGTTGAGGCAGATAAACAAAAGAAGAGAAGTGTTCCAAACTTGCAGTAGACGATATTTCTTTTAGGGACTGGATAATAGAAAGCACATAGATAGAAGCAAAATACCAGCATATCGAGAAAGGATTGTTGAAGCACCAGGAGATAATTGAATGATCTACGATGAATCTTACAGTTGATAAACACAATAATCACCGTTAAATTTGCAGAAATCCCAATAATTGCAATAATTATCATAAAGTAAATTGGAACAGAGTATCCAAAATAATCGGCAGTGCCATTGGTTGAAACGTTGCTGCTGACACATATCGACATTGTCTATAATATAAAAAATATAAATAAAAATATACGATTTCATGATCTGATAGTGTTATAAATGATCATATACAAAATTGTGAGGCATTCCAATATGTTTTAGGTTTACAATGTATATTTGGAAATGATAATGTAGCCTGTAATGTAAGTAACAAATTAGGTTTAATATTTTTTAATACTAACATTATTGACAGTTTGCAAAATTGGTCATTACTAATGTTTAAAGAAGAGTTTGCTATACGTTGGTTACACCCATTGCTTAACGATGGGCTGAAATCTTCAAAGGAGCTTTCTTAGTTTTTGTAGGTTGCTTTGATCAGTAGGGTAAGAATACTTTGATCTTTAGTTTATTCATAGCTATGTCACCTACTAGGGGTAATGTTTTAATTGGTCAAACACATTTGGTACTTGTGCATATTAGCTTGCAAATATGGATAATTTTCATTCCTGATAATGACATAATTAATGTCAAAATATTGAATCCCGACACGATGGCGTGCATTTCATTACTGGGAGTACGTATTATACTATCTTATCTGAGATTAATCAGTGGACCTTTTGATAAATAAAAATAGTTGTGAACATTTCTATCATTTTATATGCTTAGAGTTTCATATTTAACTTCAGTATTCTTGGTCTGAATATAATAAAATAAAATAATAAATGATGATTACGATGGTGGTGGTGGTGATGGTGGTGATGATGATTAATTTCAAGTATTGTATGTTTTATTTCATCCACAAAATGACATCTACAAACAGCCAGAGACTGAAACCACAGTCTTAAAATATAATAAAAGTAAAAAATAACAACTCAAAAAGCATTATTTAACACTCTCATGATGGTAGATATAAGGGACTATGAGCTTAGTCCGAAAAGTGGTCTGAATAATCAGAAAGAAATTGTGTAAAGAACAAATGTATACAATCATGTTTCATACAGGATACAGTATTGCAACTGAAATGTTGAATTTGGTTTTTGTACAATTGGTTGTTTTGTGTGTATGAAGAAAAAAATTAATTCAATAGTCAAAAGAAATCAAATTCATCCTTTACACAAGCCATTGGGATCATCATTTCATAATTTCAATAAATGCAGACTGTAAACTCAAGTTCAACCACACCCAAAAGATTGCTTGACCCAAATAGCGGGTGAAAGGGGACACAAGATGAGTGTTACAGTGAGCTTAAATTAAAAACGTAACGCATTACTTCCCTGTATACATTTTTAAAACTTAACTGATATTTTAGGTTAGCAGTATTTCCTTGATTTCCTCTGATTTTATGCGAGTACTTATCTAGTACATCAAGCCGGCTTTCCACTGGGCAAATTTATTTGCGCCAATCTAAGCGTAGGTTTGTTTCCTGAGCTCTGGTTGCGCATTTTCTTGCTTCGCAAAAATTAGAAATAGTTTTAGCTGATTTCACTGAAACGAAGAACTCCGATAGAAATGTGAATGTGCATGCACATTAACTGACGCTTTCAGTTCGTACTGTTTTTATGTTAGTACTCATCTAGTACTCATCTTTGTAGGGGTAATCATAGATAAAAATCTAACATGGAATAAACAAATTGATAATGTAATAAACAGAGTTCTTCCTGGACTTACTACCTGAGGGAAAGTAATTATATCTTGCCCCAAAACATGCAATCAATGATATACAAGTAAATAATTGTACCTCATTTTAATTATTGTAATGTTGTATGGGGACGATGCAATCAAACTCTACAAAATAAGACTAAAATTACAAAATAGCAAATTTCAAGAGTGCAATCAAACATTTCCACACTACATTTTCAATATACGTACATTGGCGGATCTAGGATTTTGAAATAGAGGGGGCCCAGGAAGGGATTTTCCCCAGCATGGTTGGGGCTGAGGTAAGAAAATTTATGATTATGACATCTCTATTTGGCTGAAAAAAAGCATTCAATTTGAATATATTTTTTTTTCCTCCATTTCTGCCATTGAAATAATCATCATAAAAAGTGATATTAATATATCCCGGTAATCATAATCATAGGCCGCTTATATATTTTGTGCAAACTATAACATTCATAAAAATAATGTCTACTAATTAGCTAGTGACACATTAGAGCCATAAAAAACAAATAAAATAATCTAAGCCCTTTGAAGTCCCAAGTGATCTACCCTAAGGTATAACTTGGCTAATTTAGGGGTTTTTAATAGATTTAAGAAAAACGCACAATACATTATAGACTAACTTTCTGCAAATGGTGGTTTGATTGTTGGGTAAAATATTTTGGGCTTCTGAAAAATAACATAATGTTTGACCTTTTGACCTATGTTAATGGTCATGTGCCCCAAAATTGCAATTTAGTATCATAAAAAGGGGATTTTTTTTACCAATAAACCCCATATAAATGTCACTAAATAAAATCCTATGCTCATGAATGTTACATATTATGTGGAATATGTTGTTTTCTACAAAAATAAAATGTGTTTGGTTGGATAAAATTATGCTTTCATATTTATTATGAATTTTTTATGCCCAAGTTCACAAATGTTCTTGAGGCCCAATTTGGGGAACAACCTTTATCGCACGCCACCCCCCCCCCACCAAAGAGGGCAGGTTAGCCTAGACCTAGGCCTATTTCTAATTAGGGTGGACTACTGGAGCTAGGATATGTTTATAATAATAATAATAATAATAGAGAAGACTTACAAGAGACATGATAGCAAAGTGTCTGCTATCCGTGCAAGTGGGTAGTAGACACAAAAATTTAAAAATCTAGGCCTATTTTTTGTTTTCTTTTGGTCCGACTGCCCGACGAGCTTTGGCTGATGGGTGGGGGGGGCTTGACCAAACCAATGGGAGGGCTTAAGCCCCCTCCCTCCCCCCCGACTGGCACCGCCACTGCTTGTATTCCTTGTCATGTCATTGTTTACTTTGTATTTTTGTCTGTACTGATACAGAATAAAATCAATCACACATAGAACGATGTAATGCGAAGAGAAGTAGATTTATTAAACTCTGAACAATTCGATATGGCTATGACTTGAGAATAGCAACCATAACAACTGTAACTAAGCCTGTGTCATCGAGGGCACACTGGCGCTAGGTCACTGTTTATTTGGTTTTTGCGGAGAGTTACAATTAGAGTATGAATAAATAGAGTAGTGGTTAGTATTTTTAAGCATAAAGGCTTGGAAACAAATACCATCCACATTTCTGTGTTGTATTGGCCAATTCACATAAATAACTGTACAAGTAACAGATTGTTGTCCTTAGAACAGGTCTAAGGATAGCATTATCCTTTGACAGTTTATTTTTATCGTTTAATAGCTCTGGATTTTCTCTTACAACTTACAAGAGACATGATAGCAAAGTGTCTGCTATCTACTTTGATCGTAAATTGAGTGCCAGCCAATTTTAAGTCTGCAAAGGAGTATAGTAAAAGTATTATTTTGTTTGTCTAATAATTGGCATATTTTATTTCTCTAATATTTTTTTTAATTAAAAGGTAATAACATTTGACTACCCTGTACAAAATTTAGCATTAATAAATATTGAAGGTTCTTTAGCTCCACAAAGCGATATCTTTAGTTTGATACTTTTTTTGATACCTTCTTTCACAAGTCCGCCAAAAATGGAAATTTGGAATAAAATAAACTTAAATTTTTTATAAGTTAGCGCACCTGTTGCCATGAATAATTGGAAATTGAGAAAAAAAATTATATTTTTATTTTTATCCCACCCACCACCCTGTAAAATTTTACCAGAAGTTAATCTTAATGTATATATATTTTTTTTAATTAAGCATTTAACAGAATGAAGCAAACTTTCACTGCAATTTGTGTCACGATAAGAATGAAAACAAAAATATTAAAAAGCAATTCATTAAAACTTCAGCAACAAAAATACATATTATAAGCAATTCATTAGACGATACAGCGTAAAATATTCTTTTTAATGATCATTAACATTAATTAAATTCAATTTATCAGTTAATAATTCAAATAGTTAATTAGCATTTCCAAAAAGATTTACAAACCATTCAATACTGTAACTAATTACAGGTCAATTATTTTACCTAACTGATAGCGATTCATTATAATATAAATTCAATAATTATTTTCTAAATTATTTATATACTTTCTAAACATACAATATACATTATACAAAAAATCCTCAAAAATAATCCCAATTACAATAGAACAATTTATTAACTAATAACAATTCATTTGCTTTTTACTAGTAAGTTAGAAACCCTATTTAATAATTTACTATTCAAAAAACTAAGTTCAGCTTTGAAGTTAACCATTATTACAAATTCTTAAATAAACAACAAATACAAAATTCATTCAAAAATCACAATGTACAATATTACAATGATTTGATTAATGTGAAAACAAATAATTCATGCAATCAAAATTTCAATAATTTCATTCACTCTTTAATTTAAACAGTAGTCAGGGGATTATGTGGGTTCAAATTTAGCAGGGGTCAAAATGTTTTTTAAAAAAACCACAGAAAGAAAGAGAGATTTTGATTCCTAGATAGCTGGAAATGAGCTTTTCCGACTTCTGAGATGTCTTTTAATGTCCCTAAAAAATCCCTCTTGAAAACAGTCAGGCAAACTTTCTCATTCTTATTACAGTAAATAGGCCTATTATGTGTGTATACATACAGAACAGAAAAAATGAGTAGTTGCATAGATATTCTTTTTTCCATGAATCGATGAACCCCAAAAAGAAAGGGAGTCTGGAGTCCTCCCCCAGAAAATTTTTTATTCCAGATGTCAGGAAATCAGCTTTCCCAATTTCTAATTTACCTATTGTAACAAAAAAATTTTAGCTTATGGGTCCTGAAAAATAGGCCCAGAATTTTGTTTTTTTGGTGGGTGGCTCCCACCCTTCAAACCTCCCCTCCCACATCCCCTCCCACCTCCCCTCCTATGTCCCTTCCATACCCTTCTCCTCCAACTTGCTTTTTATAGTGCACCAGTGGCACTCACAAGCAGTTGAACGAATTTGCAGGCATGAGATTGAAAAGTATGGGATAAGGAGAAGAATCAATTGTTTGTTTTTTTTAATTGAAAGAGGGCCTACCCCCTCCTCCTTGAATCTACCTATGTTCCCTCCATTATTTTTGTTTATTTTGAAAAATTTAGGGAGGGCCCACCCCCCTCTCCCTTGAACCCACACAATTTTCTTCCACCCAATGAGCTGACAGCGTGTACCTACACATCATTTGATGTTGTCCGACAGCACTATAAATCAACATATCTAAAGTGTTAGTGCAGCTAGTTGGTATACACATGTTGGTAACATAACGTTACCATGATATTTTAGCATATGTTTTAATAATATAGGCTTTACATTTATGCATGCGATTTTGGTCCTGAAGTGTGAGAGCGTGAGACATATCCCAAATGCGCATGTCTCTTTCCGAATGCGTGACACTTGGTGTGTATGGATAGGTAACACAGTCTCTAACATTTACGACAGAAAGTCTTAGAGAATGCTTCTTTAAAGTCTTTGAGTTTGTAGAGGTAAACAAACGGATTCATTATATTGTTGATTGCAGCAATCAAAAAGACAGATTCGTGAGCAGTATTAGTAATATCAAAACAATTGCATACCGTATAAACAACATACATCAAAATCACGGGAGTAATACAGATGGAATAGACCAGTGTGTTAATGGACATAGTAATGATGAAATTTCGTTGAGCATCATGTGCCTTGTCTTTCCGATTGGCTTGCGATGGTGAAATATTTATCTCAACAGCTGATTCATCACCAGCACCCTTTGTATGTGCTTGCATTGTTAATTCTTTGCGAATTTTAGGTTGTTTCTTCTTCAGTGTGATATACACATGATAGTAGCAGAATGTCATAGTGAAAATTGGAATTGCCCAATTTGTCAGCAATATAAATGTACCTGACAGTATCTTAATGCCTTCGTTTTTGTAACAAAAGGTGCATGTTCCAGGAAGTGCAGGGTCTTCTTCAAGTATGAACGCATACTGAAATGTTATTAGAAATGCAGCTACGAGTGGAATACATAACTTTGGTAAAGTTTTCCTTTTCTGGTTATCTCTTATCCAGTACTTCAACGGATGCACCACTGCAATGTACCTCTCAACAGAAATGAAGACTAGGTTTAACGCTGAGGCAGATAAAAAGAAGAAGAAAAATGTTCCAAACTTGCAATAGACAGCAAAATTTATGTTAGGGGCAGGATAGTAGTTGTAAAAACATAGATAGATTAAACATACTATCATGTCGAGAAAGGATTGTTGAAGTACCATGAGATATGTGAATGATCTACGATGAATTTTGCATTTGATAAACACAATAATTACCATCAAATTTGCAAAAATCCCAATAATTGCAATAATTGACAGAAGGTAAATTGGAACAGTGTAACGAATATACTTGGCAGTACCATTGGTTGAAACTTCATTGCTGCTGGCACATACCGACATTGCTATAATATTTAAAAAAAATATAAATAAATATAGTTGTGAACATTTCTATCATTTTGTATGCTTAGAGTTTTATATTTGGCTTCAATATTCTTGGTCTGAATATATTAAATAATAAATGATTATGATGGTGATAGTGTGATGGTGATGGTGTGATGGTGGTGGTGGTTAATACTATACGAGTGTTACGGTGAGCTTTGTAATGGCTTGTGGATTCAAATACATTAAAAACGTAATGCATTGCTGTCCTGTACACATTTTTAAAACCTACCTGATATTTTAGGTTCACAGTATTTCCTTGATTTTCTTGACTCTTTCTATTAAATGATGAATTTCAAGTTGACACTATGAATCTTAATGAAGCCAGCATTTGGGAGGAAACTGTTTTTATACGAGTACTTATTTAGTACTTCAAGCCTGTTTGACACTAGGCGAATTTATTTGCGTGAATCGAAAGGGTCAGTTCGCTTTCTGAGCTATGATTGGTTGCGCATTATTTCACTTCGCAGAAAGTAGAAAACTAATTCCTCCATGATCTAACTTAGTACTGTTTTTATGTTAGTACTCATCTAGTACTCATCTTTGTAAGGGTAATCATAGATAAAAATCTAACATGGAATCAACAAATTGATAATGTAATAAACAAAGTTCTTTCTGGACTACACATACTTTAGGAAAAATGTGTGGGGAAGATGCAATCAAATTCTAAAAATAAAATTTAAAAATAGTGTTGCTAAGCTTATCACAAAGGTCTTGAGATATGATTCAAGTTCAGAAGCATCACAAACTTAAACTGGAATACTCTAAACACCAAACTGTATCAATGTTTAAAATAATTAATTCTCAAATGCCAAGTTTTTCCTATGAGGGAGCCATTGTCTGGAATATCTGAAATCTCAATACGAGAATAACCTTAAATGTTCATACTTTTACAAAAACTAGTAACAATATATATATATATATTTATTATTTCGATTGTTTTCTTTTCTTTGTTAAGACTGAACCATTATTTTCTATATTTTCTGGCTCTGTTGAAGAGACTTAGAAAAAATTTTATTCCAAGTTCACGGATTGCATCAATATGTATTCCACGTAGAACCAGACGGAAACGATCGAAACCATGGGTTACAGATGGTGACAAGAAGCTTGTTCGCCTAAAACTATTTAAACGTTTTAAAGAGAACTGGAAAAGCTGAGGATTGGAATAAGTATAAACTTATATGAAATAAAGTGAAATATTCCATTGAACATTCGTACAGCAATTCATTGAACATCCTTATGAACAAATCGGATAATTAAAAAAAGTTTTGGTCGTACATCAAATGTAAGAAAATTTGTGCAGGTAATTTATGTTTTAACATCAATGGCTCATTATGTAACGACCCTACAAGAATTGCTGAATCATTTAACTCGTTTGCGTCTTACCATACTAATTGCGACGGCGGCACAGATTATATCACGTCTCCATGTCTTAATGTTCCAAAGTTGTCTAACCTGATCGAATATTGTATAAACTTATGAAATTACCCACCCACAGCTCTGCTGGTCCTGACGGGGTTACAGGTATGATGTTCAGATTATGCGCTTATAGCGTGTGCCCAATTCTAGCTGATCTATATAACTACAGTCAATGTAGTGGTGTACTTTTTCTTGGAAGCACACTAAAATTGTTCCTATATCTAAAAAGGATGATAAGTTGTCGTTAAAGAATTATAGACCAGTCGCTCTAACATCACTTTTCTGTAAGTTATTGGAGGGTTTGGTAACCAAAGATCTAAACGCCAATCTAAATGAATTTGGTCTCTTCTACGATAAGCAACATGGATTTACTGCAGGAAAATCTTGTTCTACGCTACTCTCCGAGACAACTACCTCTTGGACTCTCGCACTCGATAGAGATGCATCTCGCATAAATGTTGTCATTTGATTAGTCTTGTGCATTCGACTCAATTTCACACAGAATCCTGTGGGCTAAACTGGAGCATAAATATGGAATCAGTGGCAATGTGCTAAAATGGTTGAAATCTTTTGTTAGCGGCAGGAAGCAGCGAGTGGTATTCCAGGGTAAATGTTCACCTTGGACAACTGTACTATCTGGTATACCACAAGGATCATGTCTTGGACCGTTTACTGTCTATTTAAATGACCTTCAACTGCATGTAAATAATAAACCTTACCAATACGCAGATGACACATTCTTTTCAATGACCATTCGATCGCCCTCCGACATTGTAACCCTACAACAGGACATTGATAGTCTTGAAAGTTGGTCATCATCAAATTTGTTGTCATTGAATTCTGCTAAGTGTTGTGTAATGTCAATATCTCGTCAGCGCTCACCTGCAGTTCCAGCATATACAATGAATGGACAGATTCTGACAAATGTCGAACATCTTGATTTCCTTGGTGTCACAATTAATTTCTCACAATCTATCTTGGTCTAAACAAGTTGATAAAGTGTCTTCTAAATGCTATAAAATGCTTGGATTCATGCGTTCTGTTGCTAGGAACTGTGCTACGCCTGTACTTCTTAAACTATATTCATCACTATAGTGTTGACTCACATTCAATATTGTTGTAATGTATGGCATCCCTATAGGAAGGAGAACATAAACAAAATTGAATTGATTCAGCGTCGCGCTACCAGATTCATCTTGCATCAAAAAAGACAGGAGTTACATATAGCAACTGCCTTTAGGCTCTTGAACTCTGTACAACCGAAGCTATTAATATGAAATATTTTACAGTACTGTTTGTTTGTAGACTTTTTTATAACTGTGTACATGATTCTGTTGTTCTTAATAACATTGAAATCAATAGTTATCGTGTCAATAAACTCTTTTTTATCCATTTGCGGGCTAATACAGATTCTGTACAGCATTCCAGGCAATTTCATGAGAATATGGAATAATTTACCTATTGATATTAAAGATTCATTTGTTTGTGACAGGTGGGGTACTTTTAAAGGGAAAACATTATTTTAGACAAATTCGTTCATGGGATTGTTAATTACTTTTCCTCCAACTGTATGTTTGGTCTTTTTAATATTTTTAATATTTTTTTTATTTTAATATTTATATATTTTTGATAAAAATTAATATTTATATTAGTTAATAATATTGAATTTGGAGTCGGAGGGGCACATCATATCCGGTGATAATAGTTATTGTACTGCTTTTTCCACTCCTCAGCCCTCCTCTTTCTTTATTGATTTTATTGTTGTTCTGGCTAAAAGGAATAAAATAAAATGTTTTAGTCACTGAAAGTGTTATTTCAGTATAAAGACAGAATAAGTAAAGAAAATAAAAAATTTTGCTGTGCCTGACATCATGATTTTGATAAAGCACTACTACCTAATCTATGTTTCAATTAATATTATTCATTGCATTATTCCTCTTGCTATTTCTGGGTTTTTCTCATGCCTTTAATAATTGGCATATTTTTTTTCTCTAATATTTTTTTAATTGAAAGGTAATAAGGTTTGAATGCACTGTACAAAATTTAGCATTGTAAATATAGATGTGTATAAGAGACAGATATATATATATATATATACACACACATTTTGACGTAAAGGTCAGAATTTCTTACGTTTCATATGTTTCTTACGACTCTTACGCAAAGTTGAAATTATGCCGACGTCAACGACGTTTGCGTTGATCGTGTTAGGCCGTAGATAAACAAGCAATTTTCAGCCGCTTACGGCTGAATTTTTATTCACTTATGATTGGCTGCGTTTTCCACTAATCCGCCCTTGTTACCCAGGGTTTTCGCACGAATGTAGGCCTCTACCTCTTTATATTATGAGCTGCACTGTAAATGTTAGCAAAACGTCTAACATTAACTCAACATGGATTATTGTAAAGAGGTTGGGCCTACATTATTAAAATACAAAAGGCCTATTTGATGTTTGTAAAATTCATTTTGTTTCACAAAATAATGATGCTTCGAACATTCCCTGAACATTCATGGTTCATACTCCAAATTTTAATTCTGGGAAACTGAATTAATTGGCCACGGCCTCAAGGTGCTTGTCACCCAATCTATTTTGAGAGAAAGATTAGGACAAAAAAAAATCGGTACGCGGGAAAGTTGGATTGGTGGTAAACTTTAGCCCTAATTGACAAAATAGATATAAAACACTCCTCGCTCCTGCTGTTGGTTTGTGATAAAATTTGTTATTTTCATTTTTACTACTCTTCTCATTGAAAGTTGACTTGGAGTCAACCTTAAAAAGTTGTATTAGAGTAAATATAAATGTGTGTGTTCTGAACAATTTGGCACCAAAATTTTTTCAAAAGACCGAAGCGTTACAGAGATATGGCAATTTTATGTTTTTTAATAAAAAGATAAAAATAAGGCCTGAGCCGGGGGTGGGTATGGGAGGGGGATATCCCCTCCTCCCAAAACAAGATTTTTTTAAAAATTGGGGAATTCTAGATGGCCAGAAATGGCTGGGATGGGAAAACTAGGCCTATTCTTTGTTTTCTTTTGGTCCGACTGCCCGACGAGCTTTGGCTGATGGGGGGGCTTGACCAAACCAATGGGAGGGCTTAAGCCTCCTGCCCCCCCCCCCCCGACTGGCAACCCCACTGCTTGTATTCCTTGTCATGTCATTGTTTACTTTGTATTTTTGTCTGTACTGATACAGAATAAAATCAATCAATCAATCACACATAGACCGATGTAATGCAAAGAAAAGTAGATTTATTAAACTCTGAACAACTCTATACGGCTATGACTTGAGAATAGCAACCATAACAACTGTAACTAAGCCTGCGTCATCGAGGGCACACTGGCGCTAGGTCACTGTTTATTTGGTTTTTGCGGAGAGTTACAATTAGAGAATGAATAATAGAGTAGTGGTTAGTATTTTTAAGCATAAAGGCTTGGAAACAAATACCATCCACATTTCTGTGTTGTATTGGCCAATTCACATAAATAACTGTACAAGTAACAGATTGTTGTCATTAGGACAGTTTTAAGGATGGCATTATCCTTTGACGGTTCATTTTTATCGTTTAATAGCTCATGACTTTCAAAGTATTCAAACCGGATTTGCTCTTACAACTTACAAGAGACATGATAGCAAAGTGTCTGCTATCCGTGCAAGTGGGTAGTAGACACAAAAATTTAAAAATCTACTTTGACCTTAAATTGAGTGCCAGCCAATTTTAAGTCTGCAAAGGAGTATAGTAAAAGTATTATTTTGTTTGTCCAATAATTGGCATATTTTTTTTCTCTAATATTTTTTCATTTGAAAGGTAATAAGATTCAATAATTGGCATATTTTTTTTCTCTAATATTTTTTTAATTGAAAGGTAATAAGGTTTGACTGCACTGTACAAAATTTAGCATTGTAA